TGAAATCGTATCAATGGGCTTTCTGTCTTGTTACATGAAAATCCATTACACATTCCTTTGCACAGTTTTCTAGCATCATGCACTGGGCATTTAAAAACTACTGGCTTTGGGACCAACAGATGGTGTAATGGCTACATCGCTGGACTCTCGTGTAGTCGACTGTGGTTCGAGTCCTGGACTCGGTGGCTTAAACTCACGCCAGGTGCGTGTGCGTGCATGCCCAAGATCCCTACTGGCTTCCTACTTTATGTAGGTCTTTTGAACATTGATACATTCCTTTTAGATATTTAAAGAATTCTCATTAGTTAATGTCATCACTTTTTTTCATCATAAAATTCCTTAGTTATTGAGAAGCTGGCATCTCAGAGTCAGATACAAATTTTTCCAAAATTTTGCTTTTGCTTGAATATTATTGACAACAAATATTTTCAGTATTTGAAACTGAAAGTGTTTAAACAAATTCTTCAGTCATTCTTTTTTTTTTTAAAGAGAGTTTTGCCTTCGGGCATGTATACTCACCATAAAGAGAGACAGAGATAGTGAGAGGGACAGTGAGAACTCACCCCCAGGGAGATGATCATACTGCAACCCCTTCCCCTCCATCCTCCTCCCAGGATCTTGGGCATGCACACACACATGCTCAATGTGAGTTTCAAGCCCCAGGGTGAGGGACTCAAACTGTGGTCGGCCATAAAGGGTTCCAGTGACTGCTGGCCCCTCAGTCATCCTTTCAAGTAATAATGGTGTTCCTTGAAATAGTGGCCCATTCTCCTTGCCACTCAAACAATCACACATGCATTTTTCCTTGGGGTAATATTATATTTCATGCGTAGTATTTCGTTCATTCTCAGTTCTTCACATAGTTTTTTTTTTTTTTAATTTTTGGGAAAGATTTATTTATTTAAATTTTTTATTTTTATCATTACTTATTCATTTTATTTGACCAGAGAGAGACAGTGAGAGAAAGAGGGGGTAAGTGAGAAAGCCAGCCGCTAGGTCTGGTCTGTGGTCAGCCATGTGGGGGTCCAGCATCTTAACCACCACACCTACTAGCCCTAACACAGGGTATTGAAAGACATGTATTCAAGGCTTGAGGTTTAGTGAGGTGATCATTTCGCCGTTCCATGAATGGCTTTTGTAAGCCGTCCGTGCCGCTTGGCGGCGTATTCCTACAGGACGCCAGCGCGGCTCCGGGGACTCAGCTCGCCCTCGTTTGCGCTCAGCCGCCAGCCGTCTCACCGCTGTGGCTGTCACACTGCTCTCCGTGCAGATGTCCACCTAGTGGGAAAGGCAGTGTCTTAGGACTGCTGAGGAAGTCCTGCTGACCACAGGGCTCCTCAAAGAGTTTTAGGGGCTTCTCCCCTCGGGCTCCATGTCTGTGCCATATTTTGTATAGCTAGAAAAGCCAGCTGGCCAGCACTTGGCTTTTCTCTTTTTTTCTTCTTTTTTTTGTTTATATTTGATTGGTTTTTGGAATAGGGCACATGCGTTCTCCAGAGAGAGACAGACAGACAGAAACTGAGAAATCACCCCCTAGGCAGGATAGCCACTCCCAATTCCTTTTCCTCCATTCTCTTCCTGGAATTCTAAGCATGCACACACATGCATCACGTGTGATTTTCAAGCCATCAGGTTTGGGTCATGAACCATGGTCAGCCATGGGGGAGTCCAGCACCTTAACCACCACACCACCAGCTGGCCTCCTGTGCTTAGCTTTTGAAAATTGAAGAAAAAATTTTTTTGCAAACAAAACATTATTTATACTCAGATTTTATTTTATTTATTTATTTATTTATTAAGATTTAAGGCAAGTGGAGCCAGCAGGTGGCATGGTGGTTAAAGGTGCTAGACTCCCACATGGCTGACTGTGGTTTGAAGGAAGGAAGGAAGGAAGACAGACAGAGACAGACAGACAGACAGACAGACAGGGAGGGAGGGAGGAAGGAAGGAAGGAAGAAAGGAAGGAAGGAAGGAAGGAAGGAAGACAGACAGAGACAGACAGACAGACAGACAGACAGGGAGGGAGGGAGGAAGGAAGGAAGGAAGAAAGGAAGGAAGGAAGGAAGGAAGGAAGACAGACAGAGACAGACAGACAGACAGACAGGGAGGGAGGGAGGAAGGAAGGAAGGAAGAAAGGAAGGAAGGAAGGAAACTAAATAAAATAATTCCTCTAAAAAATTATTTAAGGCAAGTATAAATAAATTGGGGGGTCAGCCTGTGGAGTGGTGGTTAAGGCAGCTGGATCTCTTATGGCTAATTGTGCGGTTCTAGTCCCAAACCTGGTAGCTTGAGAAAACATGCTGGGAATTCTGAAAGAAGAATAGAAGTGGAGGGATTGTGGTGCGGCTCTCCCCCCAAGAGGTGCTTTCTCTCTCTCTCTCTCTCTCTCTCTCTCTCTCTCTCTCTCCGTCTCTCTCTCCCTCCC